CCCCCGCAGAGGCAGATGAGAAAGCCCCATTCAACCCAGTGAGTGATACTCCTGCAGGGCCCTCTCTGGAACTGGCTTTTGAGGAAAGGAAACCTTTACCTATATTTTGTATATTTAAAATTATTTAGAATTTATCATTGTGATATGTCTGACTTCATTTGCATGATTTTTCTATGAGATTTTTTAAATCATTTTTTTGTTTCTTGATTTGAGGCCCCAGCAGATTGCGAGGCCCTAAGCTGTAGCTTATTTAGCTTATGCGTAAATCCGGCACTGATCTGCATGTAAAACTGTTGTGGGTGCTGAGCGTGAGAATTTTTCAACCTGATAGGGCTGGGAGGATCATTCACCAACTTTGTTCACTGGATCCTGCTCCTACACCTGTAATCAGCAGCCAGATCTGCAAACATGAGCCTGTGATCTTGATGTTTTTCCTGCCTAAAAAGATTCTGCACCTCCTGATCTCTGCTGACCCAACCTCTGTTAAAGGAACAAGCGCAGGCCAGGTTGTTCCCCTTGCTCTGGCAGACATCCCATTGGGACTAGATCACAACCAATAATGCCCCCTAATGCTTTGCAGATGGAATGACAAAGGGTAGCTTCTAGGAATTGTCCAAAACTGTATGCTAAAAATGGAAGTCCTTACTACAGTTTCCTGTGGTGCCTAGAACTACACATTATCAATTCTGGGTAGATCTAGGAATTTCCAGGAACTCTATGGTAAGAACTTCCTGTAAGTAGACAAGACCTTATTTTTCTCTTTAATTTTCCCTGGACAACAGTACCTGGGGACAAAGGATTCCCCATGTGGCAGCTCTAGCACCATATGTACTACTGTCTAGATAAGAACATAAGAACATAAGAGATGCCAATGTTGGATCAGGCCAAAGGCCCATCCAGTCCAACACTCTGTGTCACACAGTGGCCAGAAATACCAGTGCCATCAGGAGGTCCACCAATGGGGCCAGGACATTAGAAGCTCTCCCACTGTTGATGAGTCTGTTTTTATTTCTGTGAAATGCCAATGAAGGAATTGCTGTGTGCGTGTAACTAGATAAGTCATGCAGAGGATGATTTCTTGGATCCTCTCACAGTTGAGGAGCCCTAGGGCCCCACAGGTCCCTGAGAATTCCAAAGAAGAAAAAAAGATAGCAGTCCAGTTCCCAAAAGTGGCAATTCTGATTTCAGCATTCCGCTTACATCATTCACATAAATGTTATGCAGCTCATATCGTTCACCCAAACGTTGCCCAGTCTGAGCAGCAAAATGCAGCTGTCAATGAATCATCTACATTTTTTCATAGCTTGTGAGGCTCACACTCCTGGCATCTGGGCATAAGGGGAACAGAACTGAAGGAACCAGACAATGTGGGACTAGATGTGAATTGGGTGTGCAGAGAACAATCACAGAGGAACCAAATCGTACAACGTGTTTTGAAACATCACCAACTCTTTCGCTGTTAGAAATATGTAACATCAGGGCTATTTTTGGGCAGGAACGCACAGGAACGGAGTTCCGGCTGGCTTCAGAGTTGGCCATGCCCAATACAGCCAAAGCCTCTGTGTGTGTGGCTACAGAGGGAAGGCCTGGAGAGCAACACCCACCGGCGACTCCGAGGCAGGTGGGCCAGGGGGGGATCTGGAAGGATCGGGGAGGCCATGGGCCAACCGGGCAAGCCAAGGGAAGGCAGATAAAACTTCCTTCCCTTCAAGGGGGGGGCTTGCTCGGGCTCCCTGCAGCTGTGTGGTGCCTGGGCAAGCCAAGGGAAGGCATGGGGTGTGGCCTAATATGCTAATGAGTTTCTGCTGTTGGATGTGGTCTATTATGCTAATGAGTTCCTGCTGGGCTTTTTCTACAAAAAAAGCCCTGCGTAACATGGGTTTTGTTTTCCAAATATGAAGTAAAATGTTCAGTGGATTATCCCTCTCCCCTGTAGCTAAATCCATACGGACAAAGGAAAGTTTTGTTTCAATGTTATTTAGGACAGATTTAACCCTCACCCTTTCCTTCTTTCTTTGATCAGTAATCAAGAAGAACCAGTATGGGATCTCTCATCTCAAAACCGTTGGAAAGTCGTGAACTGGAAAAGATGAAGGCAGCTTTGGAGAATAACAGTCTCTCGGAAGTGATAGGCCAAAGTAACATTAACTTGAATTTGTTGAAGAACACCACTTTAGACATCGCCATCACAGGAGAGTCGGGTGCTGGGAAATCAGCGCTTGTCAATGCCCTGCGAGGAATGACAGACTTTGAAGAAGGTGCAGCTGAGACTGGCATCACAGAAACTACAGTGGAGTCAAAGGGATATCCACATCCCACATCCCCCAAAGTAACAATATGGGATCTTCCAGGAATTGGGACACTTAACTTTAAAGCAAAAGAATACCTGCAGATGGTAAAATTTGAAAAATATGATTTCTTCATGATCCTTTCCTCCGAACGCTTCACCGAGAATGACGTGCTCCTGGCCCGTGAAATCCAAAAGATGAAGAAGACGTTTTACTACGTGCGCACCAAAGTGGATGTCAGTGTAGATTCTGAAAAAAGCAGGCCAAACTTTAGTGAGGAAGAAACTCTCAAGAAGTTAAAGAAATATTTGTGTGATGGTCTGAAAACAGCAGGAGAACCTAATCCAAGGGTTTTCCTGATCTCCAGAAAGGATTTGAATATGTATGATTTCCCACTCTTGCGAGAGACCTTAGCAAATGACCTGGATGATCTCAAGAGGTATGCCTTAATTACAACAATGCCAAATTTATCAAGAGAAGTCCTGAAGAAGAAGAAGATCACTGTGGAGGCCCTTATATGGACAGCATCCCTTGTGTCTGGTAGTGTTGGGGCAATTCCTGTCCCTGGGGTCTCTACTGTTTGTGATCTTGGCATCTTGGTGGGAACAATGATAGATTTATGCAAGGTGTTTGGCTTGGATGAGGATTCTCTCTGTAGATGTGCGAGGCGAGTTGGCAAACCTGTTTCTGTGTTGAGATCAGCTATCAAGAAGTCCGGAGTGGTCAACAAGATCACACCTGCATTTGTAATAGATCTTTTGCAGGAGGCAACTGTGCATGGCTTGAATGAGGATTCCCTCCGCAGACTTGCGAGCCGAGTTGGCAAACCTGTTGATATGTTGAGATCGGCTATTGAGAAGTCCAGAGTGGCTAACAAGATCACACCTGCATTTGTAATGGATCTTTTGCAGAAGTCAACTCTGTTTAAAACAATGACAGCAGCAGAACTTGTTCTTGATTATATACCTGTGTTGTGCTCTGTATTTGGTGCAATTGGTTCATTTGCCACTACATTCTACATGCTGACGAAGTTCGTGAAAAATCTTGAAGAAGATGCTGCAAATGTTCTGGATATAGCTGCTGAGCATTAAGACTTTCAACTAAAGACCCTAAACACCCACCCAAAAAGAGATGCTGAAGCACTAACTATATGAATGAAGCACGGGATCTAAATTTTGGAAACAAAAGGAAACAGGACTTGAATTTCTGATTGGAATCACACATCACCTTTAACTAATATTTGAAGTGATAAGAACTTTGCCGGAATTACCATTGGAAAACAGAAACATAAAGTAAACTTATATGCAGACAACTTAACACTCTATGTCTCAGATCCTGTGAATTCTCTGCCGGCGATTTTAGAATCCTCATCAAACTTTGGGATGATTTCTGGCCTCAAACTTAATTAATTGAAATCAGAGCTATATCCAATATCGTTAAGTGCAAATGTTCGACAAATTATTAAACCGACTTTCCCTTTCTGCTGGACAAAAAACTCCTGGAGACATCTGGGAGTTCAAATTCCTTTGGACTTGAACAACTTAATGTCCTTTAATTTTGATCGTCTTTATCAGGACACGCAACTTTGATTGAAGGATTGGAACAACTTAACATTAACACTACCAGATTGTCTGCACTTAATAAAAAGCTTCATATTTCCACAATTTCTTTTTCTCTTCAGAGCTCTTCCAATATGGATACCGGAGATAGCTTTATCTAAATGGCAGAGAGTCCTCACTGACTTTTTCTGGGCCTACAAGAAGGCTAGAATAAATTGCCGAGTACTCAGCAGACCCTCATCCTTGGGAGGTTTAGATTTACCACTCTTGAGTGCTTACTATCAGGCGGCTACAATTGCCACAGTAATACGGATGATGAATAATGAGTCTTTAACAGGTTGGATGCAAATTGAACAATCATGTATTTCTCCGGTACGATTGCTGGACCTCTTTTGGATGACAATGACCCAATGCCCGATCTCAGCACAAAATAACTGTTTTTTACATGCAACTCTAAAAATCTGGGATTGTAAATGAGCACAGCTGATACCAAAGATTTCTAAATTATTGTCTTTCATCAATCAACCATGGTTCCCACCTGGAATTGAATCAGGAGCCTTTTGGGACTGGAAGGTAGCGGGTCTGACTTGTCTCTCAGATCTAGTAAAACAAGGGAAAATACGAGATAAACTTGGATTGGAGGAAGTTCTCGGTGCATCTATTCCCTGGTTCCGGTATTTACAGCTGAAAAACATGATTGATCGTCTAGCTCAAACTGACATATTCACCAGACCAAAGACGGAATTTGAGACTCTCTTGTCTAGTTACGACTCCTCCATAAAGGGCTTGCTCTCAAAGGTTTACAAGATTTTGTTATCTGCTGAAGGTTCCTGATCTATACCTTCTCCAAAAATTTGGAAAGCAGAGCTTGAAACAGACTTGCAACAATCACATTGGCTTGACATATGGAACTCTCCAGCATTTTCCAACATTTGGATGAACTCCTTCAAGATCATACACTTATGGTATCTTACACCAAAAAGGCTGAATCGAATGAACCCTCAGTATGATCCTCTGTGTTGGAAAAACTGTTGATCTCTTGGAACATACTTACACTGCTGGTGGGATTGCCCAGTCATTCAGCAATTCTGGAAGGACATATTCTCCTGAATCAACAGCATCACACAACAAACACTCTCTGTCACTCTGGAACTTTCCTTGCTCAATCTCTGGGATTCATCATTTGGGAACAACTCCAAAAAGACCCTCACCTCCATTCTTCTTGAAGCAGCCAGACTCACGATTGCAGCAAACTGGAAATCTCCAACACCTCCTACTCTGACATCCTGTTATGACAAGATTTGTGATCAGTTTGTGATGAATAAAATCTCTAACATTGTGGACTGATCACAAAACAGTTCCAGTAGAACTTATGATAAATTTGTACTTACCTGGTATCCAGTACTTGACTTCATGGCAGAGCATAACATGCTTCCCTCTAGGACGAGCTACCTCACATGGCTCCACTTCTGATTTCACCTTGACCTTCACCTTACTGCTGAGACTCCTCTTGTATATCAGAGGAACAGACTTGACTCAATTCATTGGAATTTATGGTTTAAACAGCACTTTTGTATAGGTGAACGGAATTGATACTGTCTTATTATCTTATAACTGTAGATGTATGTTAATGTTTGGTTGGTGACTAACCGATTGGTTTGTAATTTCAGATTCTCAAGGCTTCTGCATAATGTTTTGAAGTTATTGTATGTTTTGATATGTTATACTTGATCTTAATAAACATTTCAAAATTCAAAAAACCTAATATTTGAAGTGAAGTATACAACTGAGTACCATAGATCAAGATGGGTAGCTGTGTTAGTATCAGTAGAAAAGAGCAAGGGTCCACTAGCACCTTAAAGACTAACAAAATTAGCAACAGGGTATGAGCTTTCATGAGTCACTGCTCACTTCTTCAACAGTGACTCACAAAAGCTCATACCCTGCCACAAATTTTGTTGGTCTTTAAGGTGCTATTGGACTCTTGCTCTTTTCTGTTGAGTACCATGGTGAGCAATAAAGGCCATTAAAAAAAATCTTTGAGGTGTGGTGATTGAACATTAACACCCAGAGGCTCAATGGGGAATTGTGAAAATCCTGTGCTGGTTTCCCCTAGTTCTGCCTGGAAATCAAGTACTAGGGAGATCAATAGAGGTGGCACATTTTGAATCAGAGAATGTTGTTCAAAAACTCTATGCTATCTGGTATCTCTTGTGGCAGCTTTCCCCTCCCTTAGCCCTGTCAAAGAGTCTGGATGGATGTCAGGCTGGAAAGAACAAAAACAGTGGTTTTCAGGAGCCCTCAGAACCTGATTGGGGGCTCCTCAATGAGAAGATAAAAAATGGTGGACAACATTCCCTCAACTCCCACCACTCTTGCTCCTGGCCACCAATACATCAACTCATGGGAAGTTCTATTGTGCTTTTGAAAGTGCTAGCATGTGCAGTGACGTGTTACAGAGAACATGTACAGTTGAGCAGCAGTTCCTAGTTTTTGTTTTTTGAGGCACTGGTCTCCTCTCTTTCTTTCTCTCTGTCACTATCTCTTTCCTCCTTTTTAATTTCTTCTATTTTCCCTTTATTTCTTATTTCTTTTCCATCTGTGTTGGTTAAAAAAACCCCTCTTATTCACTCCTCTCTTCCAAAAATGGTAGTATCTCCAACTATTGAGAACACCATACCCATAACAGTCTGGTGTGTGGGCATATTGTTTCATCTCTAGCTTATTCCATATGAATGCCCTTCTGGTACCCTAAATGGTGTATTATTGGGGGGGAATTAGTGAGGAGACCCAGATATGCAAGAGGAGGGCAACTTAATGAAATCTCCACCTTTGTTTACAGGGATTTTTCCACAGAGGAACTCTCAGAGATAAACCAGTTCAAAAGTAAAAGCTTTTTTTATTGAAAAAGAAATAAAATAATAACTGAGATAAGGTAAAGATTTCCCTTGCTCGAAAGCTAGTGGAATCTGACTCTGGGGATGGTGCTCATCTTCGTTTCCAAGCCGAAGAGCCATGCTGTCCAAAGATGTTTCCATGGTCATGTGGCCGGCATGTCTAGACCCTGAGGTGCATGGAATGCTGTTTCCTTTCCACTGAAGTGGTACCTATTTGTCTACTTGCAATTCCTTGCTTTCGAATTGCTAGGTTGGCAGGAGCTAGGGCCAAAGAGGGGAGCTCACTCTGTCACATGGCACTCAGGTCTCGAACTGCCAAACTACAGACCTTCCGGTCTGCAGCTCAGTGTCTGAAAAGTACTCAGAAACGTGGAGTGATTTCAGCAAGAGTACTTTATTCAATCAGGAACAAGAAAAAGACCACCGGCCCTCAGGCCGGTTTATATGCACAGAAACCCATCACCCAAAACACACCCCCTACTCGGCTATAGGCTATTTACCGTGGCCGAGAGTCTCATAGGCTCTCGGCCGCGGACCTGGCCCTCTGATAGGTGCAGGCTAGGATCCGCTTGGCTATTGTCTTTAGAAGAGCGAAGCTCTGGGGTTTGGGGCGACCGCATGGCCCAACGGTCGCGCACGTGGTGCATTGTGAGTACATTACAGTGTCTTAACCTCTGAGTGACCACGGTCCAATAACTGAGATACACACAAGCAAATGCACACTGAAACACACACACTGAAACAGTAGTGGGAATGGGCAGGGGGGGTTCAGGGAGTAATGGTTACCAGTCCAGAAGAGCAGAGGTCCATGGAGAAGAGGCTGTGAAATGAACCAGTGCTCTACGCAGTGGAGATGGAGAGGACCCAGATGAATTTGGGGGTATAAGTCAGTAGGTGCCCAAGACGCAAACACTGCACTGGGGCTGCGTTGTATCCAATTACAGGGCAAAATGCTACCTTAGGACATAGGTGATGTGATTTCCTCTAAAACGATACCATGATGTAATTAGCTAGAGGTGAAACAATGTGTTTGGGAAATGCTGAACAGCATTCCCAGGGATGGACAAATGATGTGGGAAATGTGTGATATTTTTCATGAAAATAGCTAATGTGTGCTTGATGACCCACTGTTGTTGGTTGGGGGAAACTACCAGGGTTGGGTAGATGTGTTAAGTGGTTTTTAATATACTTTTAATGAAGGTAAACAGATAAGGAACGATCAGACCAGGTGGGGAACTGATTAGCCAGATGTCAAACACTGTCTTTTCCAGGTGGGTATTCTACTTTTATATATCTATCGTGGTTTACACAACATGTGGGTTTTCACAGATTGGAGGATTGGAAAAAAGCTCGACTTCATAGGTATTGTGACATTATGACACCTAGAGGTCTTCTTTCTAAAGCAGAGATGGAAAATAAGCTAGGATCGCCCATACCCTGGTTTCTTTATTTACAAATCCAGCACGTCACCAGCCACATAAAACTAACATCAATAATGTCCTGTCCACATAATAAACTGGAGTTTATTCTTAAAATTTTTAGTGACAAAAATAAGGGACTGATCTCAGCACTTTACGACTTATTGCAATCTGAATCGAATTGTAAACCATTGCCTTATCAGTCGGTCTGGCAACGAGATTGCGATTTGACTCTAAGTGA